CGCCGCCACTTTGGGGGAGAGATCCGAAGCCTCCCCCGGGCTCCCCGGTTCCCTCTCCCTCACCCTCGTCCTCGTCCTCGTCGTCGCCTCCGCCTCCCTCTGCGCCGCCATCTTCGCCCCGCACCTGCTGGGTCACATGACGGCGGGCGGTGGGAAGGAGTCATGTGACCGGTCACGTGGGCCTGGGGGGGGAGGAGGGAAGGACCCCCTGCCCCCCCCCCCAGGTGGCCACCCAGGGGCTACCGGGGGTCTTGGGCAAAGGGAAGGCCCCCCCCCAGCCACCGGGACCAGAAGGACCCCCCCTGAGGGTTGAGATATAACGAGATTTTCATAAAGTAATACTTAATAATGAACGTTAATTACCCCAAAGTATGGATATTATAGAATCACGGAATGGTTTGGGTGGGAAGGGACCTTCAAGCCCCCCCCCTGCCCTGGGCAGGGCCACCTCCCACCAGAGCAGGTTGCTCCAAGCCCCCTTCGACCTTGGCCTTGAGCCCCTCCAGGGATGGGGCTTCTCTGGGCGACCTGTTCCAGGCTCTCACCACCCTCCCCACATCTCACCTAAATCTCCTAATTTTTGGTTTAAAACTGTTCCTTCACATCCAACGACTCCTGCCCACCTCTCCTGGAGCCCCTTGAGGGACTGGAAGGGGCCCTAAGGTCCTTCCCTCCTTGGCTCCTCCGCTGTTTGAAGAAGAAAGTTCTTGTCAACACATTCTGAGAACTTTCTGGATTTCACGTGCCCTGCCGGGTTGTCCTGCCCCTTGTGCTCCCCTTAATCCTGCCCTATCTGTGGGGTCTTCACCCCTCCCCAGCTGGAGCTCCACACACCCCAGCTGGTCGGCGACACAGAGGGTGCCATAAGTCATTTAGGGAGACAATTTTGCTTCAGCTAAAATTAGTACGTGCTGGTGGTGGGATCAGAAAACGTCAAGCGTTGGGAAATATCAGACGGAAGCAACAGTCGAAAAGTGCCAAACCCTAAAAAGCAAGGGATGGTGTGACCAGCTGAGATAAGCGCAGAGCTCCCCAAACGCAGGACGGGCGTGGAAAGAATGTAGAAGCCAGGGGGAAGGACACGGTGAGGAAGACCTCGAGCCTTCCTCCAGCGACCACCAGGAGGACCCGTGAGGAAGCCCTTGTCCCTGTCCCGCTGGGAGGGACGAGGAGTGTTCAGGGGTGGGTGCCTTCCGAGAAATCATGAACTATGGAAATCCTTTTACAGGAAATCACATGAACAGGTATGAAAAATAAGAAATAAAACCAAGCACTTTAAAGAAGAGAGCAGGGCCACAGGGGGAGGGATCCCCCGGGCACCTCCCAGCGCTGGAAATAAACGTTCTTTGCTCCACCGAGCAAAAAACGACTAAAATCCCATCCCCTGAGAGCGTTTCTCACAAGGGCGACCCCCCCCCTCCCCGGCCTGTCCTTCCTGAAGGGTCTGGGACCCTCCGGTCCAACACCCCGGGGGGAAGAGCCATCCCACCCCCTCCGGGTGACGCGCAGGAGATGGCAGCCCTGGAGGGGAGCGCACGTCTCCGATTCCTCTGGCTCCATCCCCATGTTCTCCTCCCCGTTATTCCTCAACCTTCCAGGTTCTGCCTTCACCCCCCCGGGGCTGAGCACATCCTGGATCTGTTCCCACCTCTTGGAAGGGACCTCTGGAGACCACCCCCCAGTCCAA